CTGATCTGAAGCCAGGAGCTTTTTCCACATCTCCCACATGGGTACAGGGTCCCAAGGCTTTGGCACATCCTCTGCTGCTTTCCAGGTCATAAGCAGAAAGCTAGATGGAAAGTGGACGAGCCAGCACACAAGCTGGCACCCATATGGGATCTCAGAGCTTGCAAGGTATGAATTTAGCCATTGAGCCACTGTGCTGGGCCCTATAAAATCTTTAAAATAAAAAATAAATAAGATAAAACATCACATGTATTTTTAGATTTCCAGTTCAGTTTTTGTTTATTCATTTTTCTGTGTTTTACAATTAAATTAAGTCATAGAATTCTTAGCTCTGGGGGGTAAAAGAAATGCTTCTGCAATGCCTATAATTTTTTGTCTAAAGATAATTTATTTTTATTGGAAAGGTAAATCAGATTTTTTACAGAGAGAAGGAGAGATAGAAACAAATATCTTTCATCCACTGATTTACTCCCCAAATGGCCGCAATGGCTAGAGCTGAGCAAACCCAAAGCTAAAAGCTTCTTCTGGGTCTCCCACGTGGGTAGAGGGTCCCAAGGCTTTGGGCCATCCCCAATTGCTTTCCCAGACCACAGGTAGGGAGCTGGTTGGGAAGTGGGACAACAGGGACATGAACCAGTGCCCATATGGAATCCAGGCATATTCAAGGTAAGAATTTAGCCATTAAGCGATTATGCTGGGTTCAATACCTATACTCCAGATTAAGCTGCCACCTGCAACACAAGCAACCCATGTTAGAGTAGGTTCAGGTTGGAGTCCTCTCTGCTTCACTTTCAGTCAACTACCTGTGAATAGGCATGAGAAACCAGCCAAAGTTGAACCAAGTGCTTAGGAGACTCAGAAGGAGTACCAGTGGAGACCCACAGGCAATCTCTTAGCTTCAGCCTCAATTAGCTTTAAGGATTGCAGCCAAATGGGGAATGAACTAATAGAATCTCTCTCACTCTCTCTGTCTCCCCCTCTCTGAAACTCAGCCTTTCAAATAAATATATCAACTTTTTTAAGTCTCCTGGACACTCTCATGTCTATAATTTTGTTTGTAGAATCAGAACCACTATAATAAACACTTTTAAATGGCTAAAATATGTCTTAATTTAGCATCAATAAACATCTGGTCAATGGTAGTACATCCATTTGAAAAGCATGTCATTTATTTGGTCAACAAGCAGAGCTCAATTTATGTGTATATGAATTCCCTTGTAACAACACTCATTCCCTTAGGAATGGTTAGAAACCAGCAGCCAAGTCTCAAACTTGACTCTGTAAAAGAATCATTTAAGAGCTTGTTTTATAATTTGGAGTCCTGCCCCCAAAACTGTCTGATTAAGTAGTCCCAGGGTAGCACCCAGGAATGTGAATTCTCCGTAAATTCCTGCCAAGATTGCAGGGCTTGGTAACCACTAGTCCAGGGGAGAGAGTATTGAGCTCTGGGAATCTTCAGTCCTAACTGGCTCCTCATCTCTTTCCTCTTGTCATCTCATTCCAATCACCTCCTCCAGGTCTCTCACAAATACTGGCTTCTTAGAGTGACAGGTTGTACTGACATCCCAGAAAACTCTGAAAATAAAACATAAGGAAAGGTTTTCTTTAAAAGGTAGCAAAGGCTGGTGTCATGGCATTGTAACTCAAGCTACACCTGCAGTGCCTATATCCCATATGGGTGCCAGTTTGAGTCCTGGCTACTCTACTTCCAATCCAGTTCCCTCCTAATGTGCCTGGGGAAAGAGTGAAAGATGGTCTTTGGGCCCTTAGACCCACATGGGAGATCAGAAAGAAGTTCCAGGCTCCTGGAATCAGACAGTCCTAGTTCCGGATATTTCAGCCATTAGGGAAATGAACTAGCAGATGGAAGGTCTCTTTCTCTCTTCCTCTTGTTCTCTCTCTGTTCATCTACCTTTCAAATAAAAAGAAATAGATATTTTAAAAAATTAAATACAGCAGCATATCTTTACCTTTAAGGACTTTAAGTTTTTGAAGTTTTATTAGTTCGAAAGAAAGACAGATCTTCCATCTGCTAATTCACTCCCTAAATGTCCACAACGGTGATGGGCAAATCCAAAACCAGGATCCCAGAACTCAAAAAATTTCTACTTGTTTATCAGGGATCCCAAACTGGGCCATCCCCCGGTACCTTCCAAGGTGCACACCAGCTGGAATTTAGGTTAGAAGCAGAGCAGGAACTCAAGCAGTCACTAAGGACTTATTTTAGACACCTTTTTGAAGTCCTTAGCATCCATAGATAACTTGTGTACACAAATGAAGGAAACAGATCATACCCAAGTGGGCCAACTTGCAAATGGGCTCCATTCTGTAGCTACCGTAGGCTACTCCTGAAGATACAAGTTACTCAACCCACCACCAACAGGGAAACTGAAGCAAGAAATGATAACAGAATTCAAAAATACCACAAAAAGATGCCAAAAGTCAACAGAAAGAACCCATGTCAGTGCCAGGTCCCCCTCTCCAGAATATTCCCACTCCCAGATCTCAGGTTCCCACATCAGAAAGCCACAAAGGGCTAAGGTGCCAGGGTAAGTCTCCTTTATCCTCTCCAATAGCCTGGAGTGCTTTCTCAGCTTCTTGGAAATATAAGTCCTAATTTGGGGGGACATTTTCCAAGAATTCAATCTCACACAAAGAAAGAAAAGTACTGTTCAATATTTTCTTGCAGTATTAAGCCCTTCTCTCCCCACTCTCCTTCCATCCTCTTGCTCTCTTTTTCTCTCTCACCTCTTTCCCTCCCTTTCTCTCTCTTCCTCCCTCTCCTTCCCCTCCCCTCTCCACTTCACCACACACAGAAACCCCTTTTCAAAGGGGCTTTTTTCCAACTCAGTGAAGTAAAGTCTTTGCCCCTTTGTGGGGAAGGCTCATTAACATTCCCACAGCAGCATCTCTTCAAGGATTTCACTTTTGTAACTCTGTGGGGAGGTCAAGAGGCCACAGGGGAGAGGTACCCAGGGAGGGCGGAAGAAAGGAGAGGAGGGGGAAGAGCTCTTCCTTTCGCAACATGGTCAGCAAGAAGGAGGGAGGAGAGAAAATAGGAAAAGATGAAGACAGCCAAGACTCCAGAAAGACAAATGTGGACCCCCAAACTGGCCCCGTCGGAGAGTTCACAGACTCATGAGGAAAGCAGAAAGCTATGTTTCATTTCTCCTTTCTTTCACTCACAAAGAAAGTAAATGATGGCAACAATGGAATGAAGGAACGACTGGATCCAGTTTGTCACATTTAGGAACCAGAAAATTTCTTGGCCTCCAAGTTTCCTGACCACAGACCAGCAGGAAGGGCGTGTCCACCACCTGAAGGTTAACTGAATGATTGAGGCAATGTCAACAAGAAGAAGCCCCAGGGTGGAAGAACCACATGAAGGAGCACCCAGGGTCCTGACATCAAGGATCCTGAAAGAATGATTTGATGAAGTTCAAGGCAAAGATGAGGGTGCTGCCCAAACTGTTATATCCAAGCACCTGCCTTCACCACTGCCTGCAGCCCTACTGCACCTGCTGCTCCCTCTCTGTCTTGGTATTGCCCAGTAATCCTGGACTCAAATGCAGGAACTTAAAAATTTGCACCCCTGGCTGTGAGTGAGCTTTGCTTTGCCTCTCTCAAACACTCTGTCAATTGTAGCTGAAACAGCCAGACCCCTTAAAACTGTATATATGGAAGACATTAAATTTGTTCCCCTTGTATAAATAAAAAAGAGTAAAAGACAGGGACCCAGGCGTTATCGATAGGATATGGGGCATATCTGAACTAGCGTATGCCCAGCAACACAGTCTCTGTGTAGCAACTTTCACAAACTTAACCGTTGAGTTCATCACACTTGAGCTGGAAAGTGGCTTCTGCTAGGCTCCATCGTGTGGCACCACACATTTCATCCACCACAATTTCAATGGCACCCCTTTGGCTCTGGGGACAAGGTCGGGACAGGACAGAAGCCACTGACCTCCTTGCTGTTTTAGATGATTCCCTAGGATCAGCCCCTCCCCCCACACAACACCTTGTTTTTCGTGTTAACACTCAGGTGGCAAATCTCATCTTTGTGAATACAGAGAAAAGAATGCTAGACTACCCCAAGATGCACGTGTCATTGTTGTGTCACAGCTGTGCCACCTTGGAGAGGCTGCTTAACCTCACCAAACCTTTTGATTTCTCTGTAAAGGAGATCAGTTGTAAATGGTGTTAAGACTCATTATGCTAATTTCAGAGGCGTAATATTCAAAATAGGACAGATAAATGAAAACAGTCTACAAAATCATAGCTCTATATAAATTGGGTTATTATGATAAAGACTGACTGTCTTTACTCTGTCTGCCAACCTTACACTACCCTGTTTGGGCTGAAAGTAACTGACTTATTGGCCTCCTAATCGGGACATATCAGAAAGTTCTTATTTCAGGTCATCCTGTAATAGCACATTCTCAAACAGAGGGTCACAGGATTATGAAAGAATCAGAAAGCACTGTGAAGATGTTGGAAGAAGAGTGAGAACCTTAAGCCAGAGCCAATGTGTGTGTGTGTGTGTGTGTGTGTGAGAGAGAGAGAGAGAGAGAGAGAGGGAGGCAGAGGAGACAGTGCAGGGAGAGGCATGGAGCCCCAGCAGGGAGGAGAGGGTTAAATCCTTCCCTCTGCAGTACAAAAGAAAAGAGTGTGCGGAAAGATTAGGATTTTTGCTTTTACAATGGGAGCTGCAGAAGCGTGGGGAAGAAGCTGAAGAAAAAAAAGGGGGCGTCTCCTGTTTAAAGACTTGCAGAGATTGAGTCAGGAACAGAGACGCAGAGAGAGAGAGAGAGAGAGAGAGAGAGAGAGAGAGAGAGAGAGTCTGTCTGTCCCTGGGAAGCCAAAACATCTCGGCTCCAAGGATCTGCTTTGGGAGAGAGGCATCAGCTGGCTTCAGACCTAAGGGGTGCCCCGAGCAGGTCACCCTGTTCTGGACTAAGTCAGCATCGCTCCTCCCTCTCCCACCTCTCTCTCTTTACCCGGGAATGTCTCGACGAAAGCAGCGCAAGCCCCAACAGCTAATCTCGGACTGTGAAGGTCCCAACGCGTCTGAGAACGGTGGGTGCCTAGGGAGGGTGGGTGCGGGGGTCAGGCCGGGGCAGGAGAAGGCACTGGGGCCGGTGGGTGGAAGCAGGGCGAGGACGCGCTGCGTGGTTCGTGGTTCGGAGGGGTTGAGGAGGGCGTGAGGAGGTGACCCCCACCCAAAGAGCCGCTTAGCTTTTCTCGGGGTTGCTTCTGTTTGTGTTTCCCTTGTTTTTCCCTGGATGAAATGGAGTTTTCAAACTGCCTCTGGCTCTCCACCCAAGAGTGTTCTCCCAGGTCCCCCTTGGCTCCCAGGTCTTTGTGCTGTTGCTAAGTAACGTGCTTGGACCTGAAGACCGTCTCTGAGGGGTGGGATTTCCACTCCCCCCCCCCTTTTCTTTCGGGGAGAGTTGGGTTGCAAGAGAATGGACTGGGCCAACGTGAGGGTTCCCCTGAGGGACAGGAGAAAAGTTTCTCATTGTTGCCGGGGCTGAGAGCGGCTCCCAGCTCCCAGTGGGGGGGGAAGATAGCTTTCTCCGATCCAGAGGCAGCCGGTTTGGGGTGCCTATCCGTGTCACCTGGAGGGTTGCCTGGAGGCAGGGGGTTGCAAGAGGGGTTTAGCTTTGCACTGAAAAGAAAATCAAGCTTAAAAAGTTCACATTAATACACCTATGTGCACAGCATATAATTTTGTGTAGATATTACTCTGCATTTAAAGTAACAGATTTTGTTTGTAAAAGGGCAGGGGAAGTGTATGCATTTTTAGAACATTCCAGTGAGGGACAGACAATTGAGCAAGGAGGGTCATAAAAAGTGATAGGCACAGGCAAGATAGAAACTTGGGATTCCTGCTACTTAGGGACGGCAGTACTCCCTGCACTGCACTAAAAGCAGCATGCTCAGCAGTAGGCAAATCAGAGCAGCAGTCTGGCAATCTTTACCATCTGGAAATGCCCAGGTAATTAATTTGGTTCAAGCAGATTTTGGACATATATTGTCAGTGATGTGGTCATTTGCACACACACTCCTCAGGGATCGACTATTGATTTAGCCAACAGGGACTATACCCAACCACAGAGGGCAGGATTAAGCCCCCGAGCTCTGAAACGAGACATTCAGAATTGGCTTCCAGCCACATCCTGGCACCACCGCTTGGGTTAGGGCAGCAGTCACGCTTGGTTTACTTCGCCTCACTTTCCTTAACCACAAGAAACAAGTGAAATACGCGTAAAAACCTTTCGAGAAATACCCAGCAGAAAAAAGTGTGAAGTCTCTAGCAGGAGTACTTTATTCATGATTACTGTTGGGATCATTTTAGATCAGCGCAGTGGCACCTGCTGCATGGGCAGAACTAGTACCACAGCTCAGGAAGCTCTTGGGCAAATTTTGGCTTTTCTTTAGGACACACACGTGTGGAACGCACCAGGATAGTGCGTTTGTGGCTATGGATTAGATTTGCCTTTTCACCTGTTGTTTTTTAAAAAAAGAAGCAACCCACTATGAGGTTGCATCAGTGCCCCAGATGCAGTGAAACTTCCATCTTCTGTCTGGGACATATTTTCCCTAGTGGCAGCTTTGCTGGGATCCCACTGTGCCCGCATTTAGAGGTTCTATGGTGGCGGCCTCCTTCCCTCCTGAGACACATTAACCCTCTTTAATGCTGCTATAGGCCGGATGTTTCCCCCTTGTGCACTACAGGAGACTTCCCCTAGTGCTTCAGCGAAGCCTTCCAGTCCTGCTCCCCTGCGGGTTTGATGTGGAACTATGCAGAGAGCCCTCCCAACCCCCACAGAAGCACCCTCCTCTCCTTCCTACTTCTCCCATCTGCTCACCCATTGCCCATCCCACAGCTGAGGGAAAAAAGCCCTCAGTGAGGAAGTCAAAAGCAGCTGTGCATCCCTTTGAGATGCAGCTCCATTTGGGGCAATGGAATAACTGCTACAAAACTATCCCGACAGACACATAACAAGATAGACTTAAATCCAATGGAAACAGTACGTTTCAGTTGAAATGTGGCCTTTTGAGCTGTGCAAGGCAGATATTGATGCAAGGAGCACAGAAGCAGTAGTAACCTCCATGCAGATCTGCCTGGGAGGTGGGGACATTCGGCCAGGTGAATGAACCCAGATCCAAGTGTCTGGGTTCAATACTGTGCACTGCCTCCTGGCCCTACTCTCCTACTAATGCAAGCCCTGGAACTCAATGGTTCAAGTATTTGTGCACCTGCCACTGAAGTTGGAGACCTAGACTGAATTCTGAGCTTCTGGCTTCGAGAGAGAACCAGTGGGTAGGAGCTCTTTGTGTACCTCTTTTGCTCTTTAATTTTTTTTAATTGAGAAAAGAAAAAAAATCTGCCTTAAGAAAGCACTGTGGCATTGCATATAAAGCTGCCTCCTGTGGTGCTGGCATTCCCATATAGACTCAGTTCCAAGTCCCAGCTGCTCCTCTTTCCAATCCAGCTCTCTGCTAATGGCCTGGGAAAGCAGTGTAAGATAGCTCAAGTCCTTGAACCCCTGCATCTGTGTGGGAGACCGGGAAGAAGCTCCTGTCCCTTGGTTTTGGCCTGCCCCAGCTCCAGCCATTGCAGCCATTGCAGTCTGAACCCACAAACAGAAGATCTCCCACTTTCTCGGTCACTCCACCTTCCAAATAAATGAATAACACTTTCTCTTTTAAAAAAATCCTAGAGGTAGTTATTATTTATTTATTGGAAAGGGCGAGTGACAGACAAAGGGAAAGCTTAGAGTCATTTCCCATCTATTGGTTTACTCACCAAATGCCCCCAATAGGCAAGGCTGGATCAGACAGAAGTCAGAAGCCAGGAACCCCATCCAGGATCTCCTTGATGGAAGGCAGTGGACCTAAGTACTTGAGTGGACCTAAGTACCTGCTGCCTGCTAGAGTTTGCATTCGCAGGAAGTTGGATCTACGGAGGCAGGATTCCATCCCAGGCATTCTACTAGTCACGTAGGCATCCCAAGCAGAGGCTTATCTTGCTGCTCCACAAGGACCCCCATTCTTTAGTTTTGAAGGATATGGTTTGTATCTTATGTGAGCTTTAGGTTTTCGACTTTTCCTTCTGTCCCCAGCTGAGATTGGGACGCACGGTGGGGACACATGGTGTCTTGGGGAATCTGTGAAATTATGAGTATCAACCTGAGCACCAGTAGACATTTGTTTTTAGTCTAGGGCACCACTAGTAATTTCGGAAGTCATTGACCTTCTTCTAAGCAATGCTTACCAAATGACAAGCAAATTCTGAGCCTTTGTTGCTTGTTTTAAAAGGCTCATTTTTGTGTGTGTGACCTGAGACATCAAGAGACAAATCTGAAAAACCCGTTTTCCAACCTTGTTTTTACTCAGCTCCTCTGACCAGAACACCAAAACTTAACATCATCATTATTGCACATAAGTGATGAGCAGGAAATAGTCTATTTACTTAAAAAACTCTAGCGAGAAAAAAACCTGTCTCTCTCCCCTACTGAGTCTAGAAATCTGGATTAAAGAACATAAAGGATGTGACTGGGGAAAATGCAAACTAGTCCATCTGGGAAATAAAGAAAGCGATCAGAAACCCAGATATTTAGTGAGAAGGAGAAACCAGGACAACAGCCAAGCAGAACGAGACAGAAGCTGGCAGACAGCAAAAACAGCAAAAGGGGAAAGAAGGTAAAAAAAAAATGGAGCTTTGAGAGCTCAGTTCTCTATAGGTCTGGAGCAAGAGTTTCACCCTTTGAGCTACTGGGCTCCTGTACTAGGCAGCACCCTGGTCAGAAAGATCATATATCTAAACAGATGTAACTCAGGCCTGGTGCAACAGAGCTTTGAACAAGGAAGCAGAAACCTGCTTCCCCACCCCACCCCCCCCAAGATTTATTTAATTGGAAGGTTGGATATACAGAAGAGAGATAGCGTTCAGAAGATCTTCCATCTGTGATTCACGCCCCCCACCCCCGCAAGCTGCCACAATGGCCAGAGCTGAGCCGATCTGAAGCCAGGAGGCAGGAGCTTCTTGTGTGTCTCCTATGCGGGCGCAGGGTTCCAAGGCTTTGGGTCATCCTCCACAGGTTTCCCAGGCAACAAGCAGGGAGCTGGATCAGAAATGGGGCCACAGGGTTAGAACCCTGTGCCCATGTGGGATGCTGGCACATGCAAGGCGAGGATTTTAGCCTCTAGGCTACCACACCAGGCCCCAGATACCTGCTTTTCAGGCCAGCTAGAATTTGAAGCTATGTGACCCTGAGCAACTTCTTTTTCCAAGCCTTCAGCTTTTCCGGCACAGCAATTAAAAAGCCCCCTGGGACATTTGCATCCCATTTCAGAGTACCTGGCTTTGAGCCTCGCTTTGCTGCTGAGTCCAGTTTCTGCTCATTTGCACCATGGAAGGCAGTAGGTGATGGTTCAAGCACATGATTCCTGCCACCACAGGGGAGACCTGCTTAGCTCTCGGTCCCTGGAATTAACCTGTCCCAGCCCCAGCTATTGCAAACATTTGGGGAGTGAATTAATGGATGAAGATATCCACCTCAGCCTTTCAAATAAGTAAACAAAAATGTATTTAAGTAAAAAAAAAAATGGCAATATCACTAATACAGGTAAAACATTTAAATTACATGTTAGGACCTCTTTCGGCTCAGCTATTTTCATTTATTCTTCCCAACTTCCCTACTCTTACCTACATTTTATTGTGGAAAATATACATAACAAAGATTATGATTCTAACCTTTTTGAAGTCTACAATTCATAGCATTAAAAACCATATATCCACTATGTAATGGTTGTATAATCTCCACCATGATGCCTTTCCAAAACTTTCTCATTACCAGAAACTTTGCATTCGTTAAAGAAATAAGTGCCCCTTATCTCCACACTGTCCTGCCTCAAACCCCTTTATTCAACTTTCTATGTATCTGTTGGCTTTTTTTCCCAACTTTGTATCCCTACATATTCACCAGTTCTGTTATTTATATAAATAGAATCATGTGATAGTTGCCCATTTTTTTTAAAGTTTACATACGCAGCATATACCAGAATTT